GGCTATTTTTTGGTTGCAGCCGTCATTGTTTGGCGGGTCGGCTGGGGATTCGAACCCGCCACCTTAGGTGTATATGGCTGGCGCCTTAGCCGGTTGAGCTATAGGCGCTGAGCCAATAGCACATTTTCTTACTGTAAGGTTTTCCAAATGTAAATGCCTCTGTATCCGGCAAGGTGGAAGGGACTAGCCCCCCAAAAGGGGAGATGAGCATGGGGGAGGCAGCATGTGGGGTGCTGCCCAGTGTCCACACATGCCTGCCAGAGGCCAGGGGAAAGGAGGCAGAGCTGTCTGGGGCACGATACCTGGAATCCCAAAGGTTTGCAGGACGGTGGGTTTGTCTGAGGTGCCAGATGAGCGATGATGAGTTTGTGGGAATACTCCTAAGAAATGGAAGTTGTCAAAGTTCAGGTATCACATGACTAGAAAGAAAAAAAGAAACTTGAGAGAGTCCAGGAAAGCTATTAGGCCCACAACTTTTGGTTGGTTTCCCAAGATCCAGTATCCAGGTGCTGTGGTGCTGTCAACCCTGGGCACCTCTGTGAGGTACACATTTGGCACACAGCCCTGGCGGGAGCCCACACAAATACCCATGAGTCCTGTCCAGTGGGGTCAGGCTCTCCCACATCAGCATGCTGGAAGATTTCATTGAATTATGAGAGTTGAGATTCTGACAGGAGGCTCCAAATGAGCTATAGCAAAGGGCCCCTTGTGCTGGAGCTCCTGCTGCCCTGAGTGTTCCCATTCAGTGAGTCTCCTGCGTGGGCCCTGGAGAAGCCTCATGGCACTCAGACTCCTGCAGGAGATGGATATCCTTGCAAGTAACTGTATGTAGGTAGTTTCAAGCCAGAGTATAGAACGTCTGATACTGGGAAAGTTGGGGAAAAGGACAAACTTTTGCATGGATCTTAAGAGAGGGCATTCAGGACGAAGGAACAGCTTGCAAGGGCAGGAGCACAGGATGAGTGGCCGGGGGGGAGGGCAGGAGCTCACATGATGGAGAAGGTGGTAGGCTGCTCTGTAGCAGGGACCACCCCTGCCTTTTGAAGACTTCTGTCCCCTGATGGGTGAAACAAACTTTAGGCAAGAAAATGCTTTCACAGGTCCCTGCCTGCTCTAAAGTCTTGACTGGACCAGGTGGTCCACCAGGTCTGAGTGGACCTCTAGGATTAGATGATGCCAGCACCCCTGTGGATGAGCTGCTGTGGGGTCTGCTGGGGGTGTTCTGGGCACTGGGGTCTGCACAGCAGCTTCAGAGTTGAGAACTGCTGCTGTCAGGCCTGGGGAACAGGGAGGAGGAATCAAAACCAAATTAAATTAAAGAAACCAGATTACTTCTGATGATAGAAGATGCATGGACTTGTTCCTTTAATCCAGGCATCCTCAAACTATGGCCCACAGGCCACATGCGGCCCACCTAGGACATTTATCCAGCCCACCAGCTGTTTTTGCCACCGCTGCCTGTCCTGCTTAGCAGCCTACTTGTCCCGGGGCCCCGCAGTTTGGCCCTCCAATGGTCTGAAGGACAGTGAATTGGCCCCCTGTTTAAAAAGTTTGAGGACCCCTGCTTTAATCCCTGGAAAATGTCCAAAACCTGTGAGCAACCAGAGAAACATAAGGAACGTCTGATGTGCGAGCAGCTCACCTGAGGTTTATAGTGCTGACTTCCCCAGCTGACCTGCAGCCCCTCTTTCCCTCTCCTTGTTCTCACAAGTGTGTTCTCTTGCCCCTGTGCCAGTCCCTCTCTTTCAAGGATAACGTAAACCTCAGACTGACCTTCCAGGAAGGAACGAGCCAGGGGGCTCTCCATCAGCCTGAGGGGCAAGGGGTACCGCCACCCCTCTGTGTCCAGGATGGACTGCTGTTCCCTTTGAGCAGGGGAACCAACGTTTTGGTTTATTTCATAGGAAAGCCAAGATTACAAGTGGCTTCAGTTTTGAATCTAGGGAGCATGGCGTCCATGCTGAGCATGTGTTACTTGTGTCTTGTTCAGGCATGTGTCATGGGGCTTGGTGTTCAAACTGAGCAGATTGCTGAGTCCCCCAAAGCAAACTGTTTTTGTAGTCCCAGCGTCCCTAATGCTGCAGTCGCCTCACTTTGCTGAGGCCTGCATGGATCAGATCCTTCTGACTCCCCCAACCACATAGCCACCTGATGGGGTCACTCTCGCCCAGTCTTGGCGTATGCTGTGCATGTACAGGTGGCTAGAGTGGCACATACAGTGTCACTTGTGTTTTACTTCTGCCGCACACTTACTCCTACATCCATCAGCTTTCTCCCGTCACACAGGAGTTGGGAGGAAATGATCACATGCAGTCCCTCACATGAAGTCAAGAACCCTGCCTCACCCACCATAGTGGTCAGCTGGTGACAGGGCAGCGTGGCTTCTATAAGCCACTTGTTGAGGGAATGGTGAATTAGAAGACATCTGAAAAGGCTCAAGTGAGCTCTTGTCTTGCACCTCTGACATTTCTTCCCCACTCAGCACTCCAAGATTGTCCAGTAAATATTTACTTCCTAGAGGTGGCCTTAGACTTGCCTTTGTATGAGTACTCTCAGAGCTTTCTCATTTCCCTTTTCTTTTTTTTTTTTTTTTTATTAAATGATAGCTCTGTACATTAATTCAATCATGGGGTACAGTGTGGTGTTTTCATATACAATTTGAAATATTTTCATCAAACCGGTTAATATAGCCTCTGTGTCATTTTCTTAGTTATTGTGTTAAGACGTTTATATTCTACTCTTAGAAAGATTCACTTGTGCCCTTGAAAGATAAACCGTAGAAATGGCCTACAGATATATGAAAAAATGCTCACCATCCTTAATCATCAGAGAAATGCAAATCAAAACTACTTTGAGATATCACCTAACTTCACTTCCCTTTTCTTAAGGCTCTATGGCATGCCCACTGTGCTTACCGGCAGTGCCACTGCACCCGGTGGCCGTGTCCACTGGGCTTCTGGAAGACTTCGTGGGTCCCCTCGCAGTTTCAGTTCAGAGATGAGGAGGAGTCTGTTGTTTTTGGACCTTCTTAGAGTGACATCCCATTTTTCTAGTGCAAATGGGATACCAGGAAGTCACTCATGCATTTATTCTGCACTCGTGTACCAGAAGCTGGTGGAGTGACAGAGCTCCTGGAGGAACTGGTGGAAAGTCCAGTCCTTAGTATACTCAGCTACAACCATGGGGTCAGGCCAAGGAGAACATGCAGGTGCACAGAGCCTGGAGTTTTCTAAATTTTCAGCTTTTTTATTGACTGTTCTCTATCCCTGTAGTACTTTGTAAGTAAGGTGCCCTCTAGGAAGGAGTGCTCCCAGATAGTGGCAGGACAGCTGTGAGGGACGACAGACAAGCACACCCTTGGTATAGAACTGGGAGAAACAGTAAGCCCAGAGTGGGGTCAGCCTCAGTGTCCAGACAGGATTTAGCCATTATGTTGTGTTGATTGAAACGTTGAGTTGAGGTCACAGCTGGGAAGGGGAGTGACTGCAGCATCCCTTTAAGACACAGGGGACACCCCAGGAGTCTGTGGCCTGGTGTGCCACTGGAGGAACATCCATGGATAAGAGGTCTGAGGAGGGCCGAGTCTGGGTACTCCTGGGCATCTGGCTCCCGTGGCCCGGCCCTAGTTGTCTGGTTGCGCATTCTGGGTCCCCAGTCCCCAGGGAGCCCCAGGGCCACATCCTTGGGGCCTCTGCCAGAGCCACCCTGAAGTCTGTGCTCTCTGCAGGTTCCTCCTGATGATGGGCGTGCTCTTCTGCTGCGGAGCGGGCTTCTTCATCCGGAGGCGCATGCATCCCCCGCCATTGATCGAGGAGCCCACCTTCAACGTGTCCTACACCCGGCAGCCCCCCACACCTGCTCCAGGTCAGCCAGCCCTGTCCTGCCTCTCCTCCCTCCTGTGTCTCTGTTCTCTACAAACATCCATAGAGATGCTGCTACAGAATATGCTAGAAGTGAGAATATTCAGCCCATTTTATTCATTCACATTCTGATGATCAACTTCATTGTACATCTATGCAGATGAAAATGTGTTGTGTACTGGAGGACATGCTCATTGCCTCATATTCTCACATAATTATTGGTGCACTTTACATGCATGTTAGGCAGTTTGTTTATGCGTATTATATGACTTCTGCCTTTTTCCTTAAAAATCATTTCATGTAGGGTAGCGCCTGTGGCTCAAAGGAGTAAGGCGTGGGCCCCATATGCTGGAGGTGGCGGGTTCAAACCCAGCCCCAGCCAAAAACTGAAAAAAAAAAAAAATCATTTCATGTGTAAATATCTATGTAGGCACAGTAATGTCCCTGCCATTTTTAATGCCACTGTACTAAATATTAATTATGTTTCTAAATGGTAATTTGCTTAGATGTTTTATTATTGCTGATAATTTTTTGGCCCTTAATTTATTAATTCACTCAGCATGTTCATTGTGCATTTACTAGCATTCTGAGTACTTACAAATAGCTATAGATAACTTTTGTACAAGTTACATTTGACCTATATAGGGCATATCATCCATAGTGAGGTCACAGGGTAAAAGAATTAGCTGTTCCTTAATTTTTTTGACAGAGTCTCTCTTTGTCACTCTTGGTAGAGTGCTGTGGCATCACAGCAACCTCAAATCCTTGGGCTCAGCAATCTTCTTGCCTCAGCCTCCCGAGTAGTTGGGACTACAGGAGCTCCCGGCAATGCTGGGCTATTTTTTAGATACATTGTATCTCTCTTGCTTAGCCTGCTTTTAAACTCATGAGCTCAAGCAATCCACCTGCCTTGGCCTCCCAGAGATTTGCTAAGAATGTGACCCTTATGTTAAGTGTTCTTATCACACACACAAATGATAATAAGAGGGGTGGGCATTTGTTCTTTTTCTGGGATATATAACACTTGTTCCTTTTCTCTCCCCCCATCTTCCCTTCTCTCACTCTCTGCTCTCTTCTCTCTTTTCATCTCTTCTCCCCACTCTTTCCCCCTCTGTAATATCAAATAAACTTGTACTTTTATAGTCTTAAAAAAAAAAAAAGACAGCTGGGCATGGTGACTCATGTCTGTAATCTCAGCACTCTGGGAGTCTGAGATGGGTGGATTGCTTGAGTGTAGGAGTTCAAGACCAGCCTAAGCAAGAGTGACTAAAAAAATAGAAAATAAAAATATTAATAAATAAGAGGGCAGAAAAAACTTTGGGAGGTGATATGTTTATGGGGCCAAGAGCGGTGGCTAACTCTTGTCAATCCTAGCACTCTGGGAGGCCAAGGCAGGTAGATTGCTTGAGCTCACAAGTTCCAGACTAGCCTGAGCAAAAGCAAGACCCCGTCTCTACTAAAAATAGAAAAAAAAAACAACTGAGGCAAGAGGATCACTTGAGCCCCATTTGGAGGCTGGAGGTTGCTGTGAGCTGTGACACCATGGCACTGTACCCAGGACGACAGCTTGAGACTCTGTCTGAAAAAGAAAAGGATGTGTTTATGCCATAGGTTGTGGTAACATTACATGGATATATTCTGTCTCCAAAGTCGTCAAGTTGCATACATTAAATATGCACAGCTTTTTGCATGATAATTGTATTTCAATTACATTGTTGAAAATATAAAAGAGGCTTGGCACCTGTGGATCAAGTGGCTAAGGCTACAGCCACATACACCTAAGGTGGTGCATTCGAATCCAGCCCAGGCCCACCTAACAACAATGATGGCTGCAACCAAAAAATAGCCAGGCGTTGTGGCAGGTGCCTATGGTCCCAGCTACTTGGGAGGCAGAGGAAGGAGACTCACTTGAGCCCAGGAGTTGGAGGTTGCTGTGAGCTGTGATGCCACGGCACTCTACCCAGGGGGACAGCTTGAGGCTCTGTCTCAAAAAAAAAAAAAAAAAGAAAAAAAGAAAAGAAAAAAGAAGTAGATTTCTAAAGGGAGAAAATATTCTCTCTTCTGTTTTCTTTAGGATAGGCTGTTCCCAAGATGCAAAGTCATTTGTGTATTTGTTCTTTTATAGTTTTCCTCCACCAGTTACCCACAGACTTTTCCTTTTAAAAAATTGTATGATTGGGGCAGTACCTGAGGCTCAAAGGAGTTGGGCGCCAGCCCCATATGCTGGAGGTGGTGGGTTCAAACCCAGCCCTGGCGAAAAACTTCAAAAAAAAAAATTATATAATTATTGAGGGGGGATTCATCAAAGGCACAAAGAATTACGTTACACTGATTGGATTTGTTAGATAAGTCCCTCTCATATTTGTTCCTCACCCCAAAGAAGTGTGCCATACATGAAGACCCCCATCCCCCTTCTTCTTCCCCTCTCCCCACTTGCTCAACCTTCCCCTTGTATTAGATCATCTACTGTGTTTGTATTAGAATACAGTACATTGAATTCTTGCTTCTCCATTCTTGAGATCCATTATTCAGAATAATGTATTCCACCTCTATCCAGATTAATACAAAAGATGTAAAGTCTCCATCGTTTTTAGTGGCTGAAGAGTATTCCATGGTATACATATACCACAGCTTGTTAATCCATTCCTGGGTTGATAGGCATTTAGGCTGTTTCTGCATGTTGGTGATTATAAATTGAGCTGTGATAAATAGTCTAGTGAAAATGTCTTTATAATAAAAGGAATTTTTTTTCTTTTGGTTAGATGCTGAGTAATTGTATTGCAGGATCAAATGGGAGGTCTAATTTGAATTCTTCGAAGATTCTCCATACTTTCTAATAAAAAGGTTATATTAATTTGCAGTCCCACCAGCAGTGCAAAAGTGTTCCCTTTTCTCCACATGGCATGCCAGCATCTGCAGCTTTGAGACATTCTGATGTGGGCCATTCTCAGTGAGGTCAGGTGATATCTCAGGGTGGTTTTGATTTGCATTTCTCTGATGATTAGGGATGATAAGCATTTTTTCAATTGTTAGCCATTTGTCTGTCTGCATTAGAGGAGGTTCTATTCATCTTTGTTGCCCAGTGATAGATAGGATTGTTGTATCTTTTTTTGTTGATTAATTTGATTTCTCTATAGATCTTCATGACCAAGTTTTTGTCCAATTCATAATATGCAAATATCTTTTTCCATTCTGAAGCTTGTCTGTTTGCTTTGGTTATTGTTTCCTTAGCTGTACAGAAGCTTTTCAGTTTAATTAAGTCTAATTTGTTTATTTTTGTTGTTGTTGCAATTGCCATGGAAGTCTTTGTAAAATCTTTCCCTAGGCTAGTACACCCAACTGTTTTCCACACACTCTCTTCAAAGGTTTTTATTGTTTCATGCCTTAGATTTAGATCTTTTATGCATCTTGAATCAATTTCTCTAAGTGGTGACAGGTGTGGGTCCAATTTCAGTCTTCTACATGCAGTTATTCAGTTCTCCTAACACCATTTATTGAATGAGAGTTCTTTGCCCAGTGTATGTTCTTGTTTGGTTTATCAAAGATCAGGTGGCTGTAAGAGGTTAGTTTAATCTCATGGGTTTTCTGTTTCGTTCCAAGTGTCGATGTCTGTTTTTGTGCCAATACCACACTGTTTTGATCACTATAGCTTTGTAGTATAGCCAAAAGTCTGGTAGGGTGATCCCCCCCCCCCGCCGCCTTTGTGTTTATTAGTAAAATTGCCTTGGCTATACAGGCTTTATTCTGGTTCCATACAAAGAGAATTCTTTTTTTCCAAATCTTGAAAGTATGATGATAGTATTACATACAGGATTGCATTGAATCTATAGATTGCTTAGGTAATATAGACATTTTCACAATGTTGATTCTTCCCAGCCATGGGCTTGGTATATTCTTCCATTTGTTAATATTTTCTGCTATTTCTTTTCTTAGGGTTTTATAATTTTCTGTATAGAGGTCCTTCACGTCTTTTGTTATGTTTATTCCTAGGTAGTTCTTTTTTTTTTTTGAAGCTACTGTGAAGGGAATTGTGTCTTTGATTAGATTCTCATCTTGGCTGTTATTGGTGTATAAAAGGCTACTGATTTGTGGACATTGATTTTTTTATATCCTGAGACATTGCTGGATTTTTTGATCACTTTCAGGAGTCTTGTGGTTGAGTCTTTGGGTTCTCTAAGTATAAGATCATATTATCAGCAAAGAAGGAGAGTTTCACTTCCTCTGCTCCCATTTGGATGCCCTTTATTTCCTTCTCTTGCCTGATTGTATTGGCTGGAACTTCCAGCGCTATGTTGAATAGTAGTGGTGATAGAGGACAACCTTGTCTGGTTCCAGTTCTAAGTGGAAAACCTTTCAGTTTTATTCCACTCGGTATAATATTAGTTGTGGGTTTGTCCTAGATGGCTTTGATGAGATTAAGAAATGTGCCACCTATGTCTAAATTCTTAAGTGTTCTCATTAGAAAAGGATGCTAAATTTTATCAAATGCTTTATTCTGCATCTAATGAGAGGATCATATGGTTTTTGTTTTTCTTTCTATTGATATGGTGAATTATGTTTATGGACTTCCATATGTTAAAATAGCCTTGCATCCCTGGGATGAAATCTACTTGATCGTGATGAAAGAATTTTTTTAATGTGTAGCTGTAATCTATTAGCTAGGATTTTATTGAGGATTTTTGTGTCTATATTCATTAGTGAAATTTGCCTGAAATTCTCCTTTTTTAGTTGGGTCTTCTCCTAGTTTTGGTATTAGGTTGGTGTTTGGCTTGTAGAATGTATTGGGGAAGATTCCTTCCTTTTCAATTTTTGGAATAATTTCTGCAGTATGGGCATAAGTTCTTGTTTGAAGGTTTGACAGAATTCTGGTGTGAAGCCATCTGGACCAGGGCATTTTTTTGTTAGGAAATTTTTTTTATGGTTTCTTTAATATCAGTTCTTGAAATCAGTCTGTTCAAGAGATCTGTTTCTTCCTAAGTCTAGGGAGAGGGTGTGATTCTAGGT